GGTTCCTTCCAAATGGATAAAAATCAGACATGATGAAGGGAGACCCCTGAAGACCTTGGCTATAGACCAGAAGGAGACTAACAAGGTCAATAAGATAGGTGATGTATATGTGGTGATGTATATGTGTTTGTACACAGAGACAGCTCTGGAATTGTCTGAGACTTAAATGTCTATATCTAGCCAATAACACTTATTGTGTACAAAATTATCATGACTTATTATTACATACCATCCTTTAAGATGGCATGAATGGGGAAGCTGGAAGAACTTTCGGAGGTATCCTGTAATCTCAAGATGGAGACTGCTGGAAGCAAGAAGGTTGTAACCCAAAGGAGGAAATAACACAAGACACTGAGACACCAGGACACACTAGTAGGAAGCCCGAGTTGAATGTTCCTGACTCAGCCAAAGATGCCAGGTTGAAGACATCTCCCAAAAAAAAAAAAAAAAAATGAAGACCGAACCAGGGGAAGAATCTCAGGTGACAGTTCCCCTTGAAATTGTCACTGTACCATAGGAACAGATACCTTCCCTCATTGATCCTCCTATGCTCTATGAGGAAGTTAGCACCGCGATTGTGACTACACCTGCCTCTGAGGCAGTGTTGGCATCTTGGGTCAGAATTGCATCCAATGCTAAGAAGTTTGAGGCAGTGTCATCCAGTGCAACATCGGAAGTCAAAGGGGAAATGTGGTGTGTGGTTCACTGGACAACCCTTCCTGTAAATTCAAGTGGTTGGGTGCGGCTGCAGTTCCACGCTGGACAAGCCTGGGTACTCGATAAGAAGGGGAAAGTGGCTGCCCTCTTCTTGCTTCTGGCCTGCACATTTCCACCGCCACACCTGGAGGACAACATGCTGTGCCCCAAGTGTGTTCATAGGAACAAGGTCTTAACTAAGAGCCCTGAAGGATAAAGGACAGATCTCTCGAGTTTGGGCTAGCTTGCTGGCATCACTCTTGTGGCATGATCAGAGCCACAGCTGACATTCATACTGACGGAAATCCACATCTCTGCCTTTGAAGGTGCCTTTCTCACCCAGAAATTCTGGGATATTGTAAGTTGATGCTTAAGTACAAGCAGTTTGGAAAAAGCCAGTAAGGCCAGCAAAAGGTCCACCTCTGCTCATTTTGATGACTGAACCCTGGGAGTGAGTGGTGCTTGGAGTGGGTGCAGCCTACATGGCCTAAGACAGGGCTCTCACCCTCCTTTCACCCACATCGGAGTCCCTTGACGTTGCCCATCGTCGACAGCCTAAAGCCTTCGACCATCGATGTGACTCGTCTCACATCAGTGTTTTGGGGTTGTGAACTTGTCTAAGACCCCCCATAATTAGACATCCAAATTCAAAATTCACATAGTTGGGATTGATCATAAGATGCCTTCTCTAACTAAACAGAGAAGGGGGAGATGCCAGAAGCCAGGATCCTCGCCCTTACCCTCACCCCCTACCTTTCCCCACCTGCACAATGTCCTCTGAAGCTTGGCAACTGCAAGATCCTGCTTAGCAACTGCAGATAGACTCAAAGCAGAGTACCATATCTTCTTAAGAATAGCAGGGAGACCATAACTCTAGCAGTGTACCATATCTTCTGAAGAACAGCAGGTAGATCATAATTCAAGGCAGTGTACCGTATAGACCATGACATGTTTCAAGGCACAGGCCAAGAAGATTTTGTACTTTTCCACCACCTGGCCCCTCTTACCCCCTCCCCTTGTAAAACATGCTATAAAAAAGCATTTCATGTTCAATAAATAAATAAATAAATTATTAAAAAAAAGTGTCCTATGTGTTTTGCTGCAAGTAATTCCTGGCGCTTACAACTCCAGATACAACAGTTGCTAGTCCTGTCACCAGCACAACGGTGTCAGCCAGTTCAGTGGTCAGTTGTAAAGACTTAGGTTGTACCTGTAGCCTCTGCATGTCCTCTTCCCCAGGTTGTATAGTTAGTGTGTTGTTAATGTTTAGTACTTGGGTTTGTTTTCTGCTGTTGTAAAATATTACACCAAAAAAAAGCATGATTGGAAAATTATATTGTAGTTTGATTTTATGTGATCAAACTAACCTATGATGAAAGGCAGTTGTCTTCCTTTATTGATCTCCATTAACCAATTTGTGTACCCAGCAAGCTCCGTATGAATGTCTTTACAGGGTTCTGTGTTGCTTGTGAGGTTTGTGTATTGCAGAATGAAAGAGGAGAAAGAAAGTCCTGACAAGGATGCTGAGACTCTGGGACCTTCCATTCCAGGCTCTTGTTTGATTTTACGGCAACTACATCAAAGCTGTTTCCATTAAAGACTTGCTCCCAGAACATTTCTAGAACAACTAGCTTGCCCATCCAGCCTTTCAGATTGTTATAGTTAGAATATCAACTAAGACATGAACTTTCTCAGCATATAGAGACTGCAAGTCATATGGCACCAGCTAGCCCTCCTTTGAGAAAACCAATTTTCCTATTTCTCTTTGGACCCTCAGAAGGGAATTGTTTACCCCAATTCAGCTAGAAGCAAGAATAAGAAGATTGTTGTCCCAGTCCTTTAGGTTGGGGTGGATGGTTCTGGTTATTTTATGAATTTTAGATATGTTGTCATTTAAAGGGATAATTTGCTAATGTTGTAGCTTTGGACAGAGGAAACTAGAGAGCTTAGACTCAGGGATTTCTACCTTTCCTCTTCTCTATTCTTCCTTCTTAGGTAAAGGAAATACAGATGGAAGAGAAAAATCAGGGATATAGTAGTATCATAGAAAGTAGAGGAATAGACAAATAGGGATATATTATCAAATTGACTCTTAAACAAAACATTTTATAGATACAACATCTTACATTGATAGAAATCTTTATTATTGATGCAGATTGAAGTTTAAATTTTTCATTGGTATCCAATTTATAGATTGATGTAGATTTAAGGTTTTTATTAGTGGGAATTTCTTTTATATTGATGCAAAGTTTGAAATTAATAGTATCACTCTTTGGTAGGCATTGTGTCTATGCAACTTATCTAGAATATAAGGCTTAGATCCAATCCTTCTAAGGACAGACATTACAAACTGTGTAGGATGACTGAGTAATGCAAGTTAACTCATAGTTATATTATCTTCTGATTTGATTATAATAAAGTGTTTTTAATTTACTAAGATAGAAATTACTAAGAACAGTTAAGGTTTAATAGTTCAGATATATTTTACGTAGATAGTCTTCAAAAGTGTCAGAAGGCCACAGAATATGACATTTAAGGGCACTCCATCATTAAAGATCATTTGACTAGAGACATGTCTGCCCCTGACAGCTCCTGCTTCTTGGTTCAAAGAAGAAACTGAGCCTCAGTGGAGCTTCTCCAGTTGTGGCAAGATAGCCACTGGGCAAAATTTGTCTCGATTCATCTACAGACAAAAATACTGTCCAGGGCTGGGCAGTGGTGGTGCATACCTTTAATCCCAGCACTTGGGAGGCAGAGGCAGGTGGATTTCTGAATTCAAGGCCAGCCTGGTCTACAGAGTGAGTTCCAGGATAGCCAGGGCTACACAGAGAATCCCTGTCTCGTAAAACCAAAAAAAAAAAAAAAAGGGGGGGGGACTGTCCTGACAACGAACATGTGTGGTTTTTGCACCAGCTTATTGGGGTTAGAAATTTACTGCAACACAAGAACACATCAAAAAATCATTTAACACAATTAAGTAGGCTTTATCCCTAGGATGTAGGGATGGTTTAATATATGGAAATCTGTCAACATAATCCACCAGATAAACTGATTCAAAGGAAAAAAAAATCACAGGATCATTTGTTTAGATGCTGTAAAAGTCTTTGAAAAAAACACAACTCCCCTTCAAGTTAAAAGTATTTGAAAGATCAGGAATTCAAGGCATATAACTAAACATAATAAATGCATTATAAAGCAGACAAATGGCCAACATCAGGTTAAATGCAGAGAAGCTTCAAGCAATCCCACTAAAATCAGGAACAAGACAAGGCTGCCCACTCTCTCCATACCTATTCTATATAATACTTGAAGTTTTAGCTAGAGCAATTAGATAGCCAAAGGAGGTCAAAAGGATACAAATTGGAAAGGAAGAAGTCAAGGTATCACTATTTGCAGATGATATGATAGTATACACAAGTGACCCCAAAAATTTTACCAGAGAACTCCTACATCTGATAAACACCTTCAGCAAAGTGGTTGGACACAAAATTAACTCAAACATATCAGTATTCTTCCTCTACAGAAAGGATAAACTGGCTGAGAAAGATATTAGTGAAATAGCACTATTCCCAATACTCACAAATAATATAAAATATCTTGGTGTAACTCTAACCAAGCAAGTGAAAGATCTGTATGACAAGAACTTCAAGTGTCTGAGGAAAGAAATCAAAGAAGACCTCAGAAGATGGAAGGATATTCCATGCTAATGGATCAGTAGAATTTACACAGTGAAAAAAGCCATCTTACCAAATGCAATCTGAAGAATCAATGCATTCCCATCACATTTCCAATCAATTCTTCACAGAGAAAAAGCAACTCTCAATTTCATAGGGAATAACAAACAGTCAAGGATAGCATGAATAATTTTCAACAATGAAAGGACTTTTCCAGGAATCACCTTCCCTGATCTCAATGTGTACTACAAAGCAATAGTGGTAAAGTAACAACAACATCAACCCCCCCCCCCAAAAAAAAAAAAAAAACCTGCATGGCATTGGTACAGAGACAGAGAAGTAGATCAATGGAATAGACCCACATACCTATGGTCATCTGGTCTTTTACAAAGAATCCAAAAACCATACAGTGGGAAAAAGAAAGCATTTTCAACAAATGGTACTTGCCTAACATGGTCTGCATGTAGAAGAATGAAAATTCATCAATTTTTATGTCCTTGTACCAAGCTGAAGTCCAAGTGGATCATGGACCTCCACATAAAATGAGGTACACTGAATCTAACAGAAGAGAAAGTGAGAAATAGCCTTGAACACATTGGCACAGGGGAAAATGTCTTAAATGGAACACCAATGGCTGAGGCTCCAAGATCAGCAATTGGCAAATGGGACTTCATGAACCTGAAAGCCTTCTGTAAGGCAAAGGACATAGGACAAAATGATAACCCACAGATTGGGAAAAGATCTTTACTAACCCTACATCTGCTAGAGGGCTAATATCAAATACAAGATCCCAAAAAATCAATTAACGCAATGAAAATAAAAAGGTACAGAACTAAACAAAGACTTTTCAACTGAGGAATCTCAAATGGTCAGGAAGCACCTAAAAAAATGTTCATCATCTTTAGTCATCAGGGAAATCCAAATCAAAACAACCCTGAGTTTCTACCTTACACCAATCAGAATAGTTAACATAAAAAACTTAGGTGACAGCAGATGCTGGCAAGGATGTGGAGAAAGAGGAACACTATTGGTGGTGGGACTGCAAGTTGGTAAAACCATTTTGGCAGTCAGTCTGCCTTGTACTCAGAAAATTGAACATAATTCTTCCTGAAGAACCAGCTATACCTCTCCTGGGCATATATCCATAAGATGCTCCATTATCCCACAAAGACACTTGCTCAACTATGTACATAATAGCCTTTCTTATAATAATCAAAAGCTGGAAACAACTCAGATGTCTCCCAATGGAAGAATGGATACAGAAAATGTGTTACATTTTCACAGTGCAATAATACTCAGCTATAAAAAGGAAGATATCATGAATTTTGCAGGCAAATGGATAGACCTAGAAAATATCATCCCTAGTGAGGTAACCTAGACCCAAAAGGACTTACATAGTACTTACTGATAAGTGGTTATTATCCCAAAAGCTTGGAATACCCATGATACAAGTTATAGACCATATGAAGTTTAACTAGACGGTAGGCTAAAGTATGGATGGTTCAATATCACTTAGAAGAGGGAAGAAAATAATCATGAGAGGCAGGAGGAAGGGACCTGGGTGGGAGAAGAAAAGGGGAAGGAAAAAGAAGGGCAGGATCAGGTATGGGAAGAGAAAGGAGAGAAGTCCAGAGAGTCAGGAGAATGAATAGAAATATGTAGCACTGGGTATGGTTGTGGGCAATAGACGGAGGAAGGGAAACCACTAGAAAGTGTCAGACCCAGGGATGCAAGAGGGTCCTAGGACCCAAAGGTATGAATTAGCCAAAATGCCCAAAAGTGGGGAGGTAGAACCTGAAGAAACCACCTGCAGTATATGGACTTGGGCCCCAGTCCCCAGTTGAAGGATGGGGCCACCCACCCATCTCAAAAAATTTAACCCAGATTTGTTCCTGTCTACAGAAAATTCGGGGACAAAAAATGGAGTAGAGACTGAAGGAAAGGCTATCCACAGACTGCCCCACCTTGGGATTCATCCCATCTGCAGACACCAAGCCCTGACACTATTGCTGATGCCAAGATGTGCTTGCAGACAGGAGCCTGGTATGGCTGTCCGCTGAGAGGCTCTGCTAGTACCTGACTAAGACAGATGCAGATACTCTCAGCCATTAGACTGAGCTGGTGGACCACAATGGAAGAGTCAGGGGAAGGACTGAAGGAGCTGAAGGGTTTTGCAACCCCATAGGAAGAACAATAATATTAATAAACGGACTCCTCAGAGCTGCTAGAGACTAAACCACCACAACCAAAGAGTATACATGGTTGGGTCTATAGCTCCAGCTACATATGTAGCAGAGGACGGCCTTATCCTGCTTCAGTGGGAGGGGAGGCACTTGGTTCTGTGGAAACTTGATGCCCCAGAGAAGGGGGATGCTGGAGGCATGAGGCAGGAGTGGGTAGGTGGGTGGGGAGGAACCCTCTTATAGGCAAAGGGGAGGGGGAATGAGGTGAGGGGTTCCTGGAAGGGAGACCAGGAAGGGAGACAACATTTGAAATGTAAATAGATAAAATAATTAATAATAAAAAAATAAATCGTTGACAACAGTAAAGTTTTGGTGAGGCAAAAACAAAGGAGACTGGCATAGTAGAGAAAGGTTGAGTATACGTAGTGATTTTCTGAAGTGAATAGAGTTATATTTGACTGGCGTCCAACAGCACACACAATAAAAATGCCTTTGATTAAAAAAAAAGTACCTTTACATCGTCAAAATCTAAAATATTTCTCAGCTCTGTTTATTTGCTTTACAGTATAGCATGCTTTCCTGTCACTGATCCCAGTTTTTCAGTTCCTTAGGGTGAGGTCAGACCTAGGTAAGCAGCCAATCACTGTAGCTTTCCAGTCAGCTGGTTTGAAAACAACGCCCACAAGCTACCAAACTGTCTTCCAAATGTCTTCCTTCATCAGAAGCTCACTGCTTCAGCAAGAAGATAGGTGATTCCGAGCCTACCTCCCCAGATTGCTTGGAAACGGGGAAAAAATTGTAAGTATTTAATGAACTGTTACCTAAACTAAAGGGAGGGAGGGGACCTTCACCTCACTTCAGGGGAGCTGGACCTCACTCTGGTTAGCCTGCCACAGAGGGTCTCTATAGATCCACGGAGGCTGGGATGGGGTGGAGGGTGGGGAGCTCTGCAGTGGGTAGGAAATCACTGGTGCCACTCTGTATTTTTGTAGTATGGCCTATGTTACTTAAATGTGTTTGGGGGAAGTGCAACCAACGGAGAACTTGTTAGTACCCTCTTCCAGGGCATCTGGAATTTGCACTCCACTAACTTAAACAGGAAGTGGCATAAACAATGGGCTTCCAACAATCCATGAGTCCCAGATTTCCTGTGCTCACTCACTGTAATTAAACTGTAGCATTGGTGGGTGTTGTAGGTGTTAAGTTTGAGCAAACACCCACTCCCCTCAAAGCTCCCCACCCTCAGTCTTATAAATACCCTCAGGCTCTCCCTTGGGGAAATGCCTGTGTGTCTCCCATTGGCTTGATGGCCTGCATTCATACTCAGACCTGAGATCCCTAATACTGAAGAAGAAAATGGTTCTTTTGAGTTTGTAAATCAAAGTAGGTGTCCAGATTGCTGGAGGATTGACTGCAGGACTGGGGAGGTTATCAGTCACATTCTGCCACCCAGCTACACCTAAATTGCCCTTCTTCCACACCTCTGCCTCCCCCCTTCATTTTCAGAATCCCATAGTTAGTAGTGCACTCCTCCTCCCTGAAACCTCCAAGCTTTCAGAATGTCTCCTTCTTCCTTAGGACAACGGTATTAGGTATACTCTTTCTGGTCTTAAATGACTCTTGTGACATCAGGGAATGATCTTGGTCCTAGTGTTAGATATTATATCCCAGGTTTTTTACAGTAGGGTGGGAGTGGGAGATTTATCCCATCTGCAAATACATCTACAGTTTTAGTTCATAACAAATGATGGAAAAAGAACATTTGAGATTTCTATTTAAAACTGTATCCTCTCCATTTTGAAAAACATTTATATTTTCTTCATTAACTGTGTTCCCCTTAATTTTAAAAATACATATTTTGTTTTATGAGCATGGGTGATTTTCCTGTACGTCTGTGTGTACCATGTGCATGCCTGGTTTACACAGAGGTCAGAAGAAGGTATGGAATCCCCTCTATCTGGACTTAGACAATTGTGAGCCACCATGTTAGTGCTGGGAATGAACCAAGTTCTCTCTCTACAAGGGCAGCAAGTGCCCTTCACTGTGGAGTCACTGTCCCACCCCCACCTTAATATTTTTGTTTAGAAATAAAATATCAAATTTCTTGAAAAACAGAGTTCACAATTATTGTTAGATCAAGAGCCTAGCTCTTCTACAGCGGACAGCCTATTCGCTCTGATGATTGGAAACACTGTTCTGGGAGGTGAGGGGTAAGCTGCAGAGGAGGGAGTTCTAACCATGCCTCCCTTGAATCCTAGGGCCCTACTCAATGCCCTACTCAGTGCACACCTAAGGACCCTCCCCCACAGCTATTGGGGCCCTTAAACAGAATGTAGAACAGGCTCTCCTTGAGGCAGAGTAGCAGGTGTGATCTGCCTGCTGCCTCTGACTGGGAGTTATGACCAGGTTCCACCAAGTTACATATTCCTCACAGTAAACCAGAGCACCTACTGTGTTGGGAAAACTTAGAAAAGTAAAGTTTTCCTTTGTCCTTCATACTTTTCTCTGGGCTAAAACTGGCAGCCAGGTCCTCACCGCAGTGGCCAAGGTCCATAGAGTAACTGAATTTGGTGAAAGTTACTCTATCTGCTGTCTGCACACCGGGCTCTCTAGAAGTCACTGCTGCTGCTTCTCTAACATTTTCACCTCCTCTGACTCATACCCAAAGAGAAAGCTCATGAGTAATACTCCAGTTTCTCAGATAAACAAGGTGCTTCTGAGGGCTTAGAGGCTAGCTGAACACCAGAGGGCCCTAAGAGAGCTCATGACTAAGCAATAAGATGGTGAGGTTCTAAAATGGCAGCTTCTTCATCACCTTCCTGACCTGAGAACAAAATGTGGCTGCTTAAAACAAAGGCCCGGTCAAGCCTTTTCTCCTGCCAGTGGCGGCCCCTGCTGGTGAGCAAGTCCAAACAGTTCAAGGCCAGAGTTGGATGTGGATTTTTGATTGAGACATTAAAACTAATGAACGAGCTCTTTGTTTCACTATGGTGAATATATTCAAAATGTCTTCAGATAGTTTCAGAAATACTGTACGTTATTGTGAGCACTATTCATCCTACTGTGCCTTTGAACACCAGATCTGATACCACTTTAAAGAAAATACTGTCTACTCAGTGTCTACTCCCCGCAGTGCCTGGTAAGGGATAGTTTTACTAGCTTATTAGCCAGCATCATTAATAGGAACACACTAGTAGATTTCTCTGCTGACTTATAAGCCAATTCAAGCTGAATTGAAAGTAGAAAAGCATATTTATTTCAGAACAGTTCCACAGCAAGTTCACCAGTCTAAGGTACAAGATCAAAGAAGTCCTGCCCAGGATATGGCAGGGAAGTTTTTTTATAGATTGTAGGTGAAGGAAAATGACCTGTCTGTCTGCCACAGACTGGGCTTGGGCCCAAGTGTGGTCACGTGGGGCAGGGAGAAGTTTGCTACAGCTGCCAGGAATGTCAAACTGGGCTTTTGGTGCGGTGGCTGTGGTGGAGGGAGGTGGGGGATGTGAGCCTAGTGGAGGCTCCAACCAAACAGACATCAGCATCTATCAGTGGATGAGCGTGGAAAAACTGTGATACATACTTCCATATAAAATGGAATACTATGTAGTAATAAGATAGGATGTCTTCCGTGACAACATGTGTGGAGCTCGGTGACATGCTGAGACAAATTTGTCAGGCATTGAAAGCCCAACATTGTTCATCAGTCGTAGAGGAGATAGCTAAAATCAGGATTTGGAAAGATTTTTAAAGCATGATGCTAAACTAGAAATCACAATGAAACCGCTCCTTTAAAATATGAAAGGGTGTAGAAATCTCCCAAGCTTTACTTTCTACAGGGAGTGTGAGGAGATCTGAGGAGTGCTCACAGAGGAAGTAGATTGCTCACAGCAACACATGGCTGAGACGTGCTGGAGCTGGAAATGAGCACATGAGGATTTAGTATGTTGTTTTTTTATACTTCTTATAACTAGAAAGAATGGAGGTTGAGAGTTCTCTGTGGATCCAAAATCCAAAGGCCACAGTGCAGTGCTCAAAGCATTCTAATCCTACGTATCCTTTCTCCTGGTTGTTAGTGTAGTAGAAGCTTCCTGGTATTTTAGGTGTGTGGAAATGAGCAAAGTGCAATGGTTAAAGTCAGTGGAAACTTTGTAAAAGCTATCATCTGTACCCAGTAAAATTAATTCACTTGGTATACATTTCCATGAATTTTGAAAACATATAATCAGGTGTACTTTATCAAGATATATAGAGTCTGGAGAGTTGACTCAACCATTGAGAGTATTTAGTGTTCTTGCAGAGGACTGAGGTTTCATTCCCAGCATCCACCCCTAACTCCAAAATAGGGATCCAACATACTTTTCTAAGCTCTCCTAATACTAGGCATGCATGGAGTATACATACATACATACATACATACGGGCAGACACAGCATTCTTACATGTATAACCATCCTGTTATGCAGACAGTGATTTTGCTCTTAAATCTAAGATGATTTTTGCTTGACAAGTTCACAAACATTCTCCCTCACTTTTCTAAAGATCTAATGACTTTACAATATTAAGTTTTGTGCTTGGGTCTATACATCTACAGATGGACTGTAGTAGTTTGAGTATTTTTTTTTTTTTAGCAGACAGACAACAGTCTGTTTCAGCAGTCCGTAGTGGAGTGATGCTAACCTTTCCCTTTCTAAAACCTTTCATCGCTGTTAAGTGTCTGTTGAATGTGTGTTTGATGTCAATCTGGAGTCCTGTTTACTGCTGTGTTGCTTCAGTGTCTACTCTGTTGATGGCACCAGGCTTTCATTCCTGTTCACATGAGGACACGAGGCATTAGATTAGGCCTTGCGATCTTCCTGATTTTGACCTCTTCTTTTTCAAAATAATTTTTGACCATGCTGTTTTCTTTTTAATGTTCATAGTACTTTTCATATAACTTGGTGCTATGACTTTTTTTTTCTGAAGGCAACCACCCCTCAGGAATATGTTGCATATATACACTTGTTCAGGACTTGTTGATATGTGAGGGATATGGAGTGTTCCAGTTCGTTATGTGTTTAGAGCTGCCTTGATTTCTTTCTTTTGCATTTCAAAAATTTAACCTGTATGATTGTTGGGCCTGCATAGATATCTGTGGATCATGTGCATTCCTAGTGCCCGCCAGGGTTAGGAATGTTGTCAGATTTCCCAAATCTGGAATTACAGAGATTTGTAAGTTGTTATAGGGATGCTGGAATTGAACCCAGGCCCTCTGCAAGATCAAAAGTGCTCTAAACCACTGAGCCAATTTTCCTATTCTTATTTCTTTCTGTCTATACATGGAATTTTTGTTTTGCTGATTATGAGCATCCTATTTTTAGATTCATAATTTTATGTTTTTTAAGCATTACTGTAAAGAACACTAAGATATTAATTTCCACCTGACTGGACTATATAACTGATTTTTCCATGCAGATGCACCATCCTGCAGCTTTGTAAACTCAGTTTTTACATCTAGTAGTCTTTTGAAGATTTGTTAGAATTTGTATGTAGCTAGAACCATGTCATATGTGAAGAGAAACACTTTTACATGTTTCCAAGAACTGTAAACCTTTTTTCCTTCTTTAAGAAACTCATTTTATGTACATGGTTGTTTGCCTGCAGGTTTGTGCATCACATGAATGCCCAGTGCCTACAGATGCCAGAAGAGGGCGATGGATCCCTCAGAACTGGAGCTGTGCATTGTTGTAAGCTACCTTGTGGGTCCTAGGACTTCAACCCAGGTCCTCTCGAAGAGCTGCAAGTGGTCTTAACAGCTGAGCCATTCTCCAGACACCTGACCCTATTTCTTTGTCCTGGCAAGGACCTCCTGGGAAAAGTCTACCTGGAGCAATGAGCAGATATCCAACTCTTGCTCCTAATTTCTGGGAAAACATTCATAATTGCACCATTGGAGAATGAAGCAGACTGCTGCTGGACTTACTGTTTTGTTCTTAATGGATAACTTTTGTAGAGTTGAGGAAATTTCTTGCACTTACATTTTTCACATAATTTTTCTGTGTTTATTGAGATATTTCTAGTTTTTCCTCTCTTCTTATTTTGTTAATATGTCTAATTACATCAATGCGTTTTTCTAATGTTTCCATAGCTCCTTCTAACCAAGGTGCTTTTTATGGAGCCAAATTCATATTTTTATTGTTTGCATTTCACTGGGATCTCCACTCCCTCTATTCTTGCTCTTTCATTATTCACCCAGAGTTCAGTGACCAGAAGATTTCCTCACAGAAGCTCAGTTTCCATCCTTTCTAGACTTTTTTCTACCATGGACATCCTTCTAGATGAGGACCTTCTCTAAAAGGGTTGGCAGGAGCCTTTCAGGAAGTTATAGGCAATTGTAAAGTTAGTTTTGTGGTAAATTTATTTTATTTTCCTTAAGAAATTCTTGAAATTGGCATTCTTATATTTATATTTTTACAGGTAAAATGTTCCAAGTTATCTCCCCTGGGTCTCCTGTTAAGCTTTACTGTCGGGGGCCAGAAAAATATACCAGGGGCTAAAAGCACTCAGCTTGGACAGTCTGTCCTCTGCCACCGTGAGAACGAACAATCACTTCCCTGTTGTCATCCTGCTTGCGCAGGGCTTGCGGTTTTCCACGGAAAGTACAGCCAGTCCCCTTACCTAATTTTAGTTCCCCATCTAACCACTAGTTCCTTAAACCCAGTTCCCCAAACCCTTGCCAGATGTCCCAAGAGGCCACCCCCTCCTCCCGCTCCCTCCAGTATATCTTGTAGTCGCTTCCGCAATAAAGATAGACCTTGACAAGATCTTGCTTGGTCTCCTTCCTTTCTCTCGCCCGTTCTCCCTTTCAGACTTGCCTCTTACTCAGACCCTACAATAACCTGCCCCGCAGGCTGGGGCAAGTGGCGCCCGAACAGGGACCCGAGTCTACGATAGCAGGTCGGACAAGGCTCCAGGAAGACCGGCCGGTCAGAGATTTGTTTCAGCAACCGAGGACTGCAGACTCGACAGTCGGAGGTTCGGTGAGTTAGTTTCGCTTTGTCCCATTTTCTCGAGAATGGGCCAAAAATTGTCTAAAGAGGCTCCCTTTATTCAAGACCTCAAGAATAGTCTCAGAGAGAGAGGAATAAGAGTTAAGAAAAAGGATGTGTTAAAATTTTTTCTGTTTATCGATGGGGCCTGCCCCTGGTTCATAATTGATGGCCCTACTATACACCCAAAGAAATGGCAAAAGGTGGGCCGTGAACTCAATGAGAAATTGACTAGAGAGGGACCTGATATCGTTCCCGTTACTGTTTTTTCATATTGGGGACTAATTAGAGACATTATAGAAGATGAGGAAGAAGACCCCCAGAGGAAACGTCTTTTGTCAGTAGCTGAATTCTGTTTACGACCGCTTTCACCCCCAGCTTCTAAAGCCCCTTCTAGAGCCCCCTCTGTTGTCATTAATATGCCGCCAGAAATTCCTTCTCCTAAAATGAATACCCCTAAAGCAAGAGATACAAACATTAATGACCCGGATTTAAAACAAGCCCCTTGACAAATTTATCCTTCCCTTGAGAATTTTGATGACGAACCTTTAGATCCAGGAGACACCGCCTCACTAGAGGAAGAGGCTGCTCGCTATCATGACCCCGATTGGCCCCCATTCCAACCACCTCCATATCCTCGAGCACCCCCGCTTGCCGCTCCGGCCCTCCTGCCCTCTTTACGAGCACCTTTGACCCAGGCAAAGGTTGATCTAACTGCCAGGGTCGCTGAGTTAAAAGATGTCCTTAGTCTACAGCGACAATATGTTGACCTATCCCGTCAATTAAACAAGCTGCAGGCCTGTCTTAAAGATACCTTCCTCCCTGGCCCTCAGAGTTATAAAAACCTAAAAAAGGGGTCTAATCAAAAACCTGCCAAGACCGTTAAAACAATAGACCTATGTGTGTTCCCCGTTATTACACGTGCCCGGGCGGCGGCAGCAAGACAGAGGCCTGACCCCCCCGGCCCCTGACACAACTGAGACAGCCTCAGAACCCGAATATGATGAAGCTGAACATGGGGAAGAAGACCAACCCACTAGTGATAGTGAAGGAGAAGAATCCAATCAGGGAGATTATGAGGTCCTTCGCCCCGCCTTTAAGACAATAAAATTTAAACATATTAAAGACCTTCATAATGCAATCAAAAATTACGGCATCGGGGCTCCTTTCACGCTGTCTCTCTTAGAAAGTTTGGCTGGAAATGGTTATCTCCTGCCAGGAGAATGGATAAAAGTGGTAAAAACTGTTGTTGACCGACCTCAGTTTTTAACCTGGAAGGCTGAATTTTTAGAGCGAGGACATTCGATTGCCACCCGCAACCAAAAGAACCCCTTATCCTCCACAGCCTCTTGGTCCGTTGATAAAATTTGCGGACAGGGCAAATACTCCTCAGAAGAAAAACAGAAGGGATTGTCGCCCGGTATCCTGGCTCAAACATCCGAGGCTGCTATGGGGGCATGGAGGACAATGCCTCCTAAAGGATCTGCCCTCTTCCCGCTTAGTAAAATCATTCAGGGTCCCCATGAGCCGTTTGCCCAGTTTGTTGCCCGTCTACAAGAAACAGCAGAGAGGGTACTGGAGCCTGAAGAGGCTGAGGGAAAGATGGTCAAACAACTTATAATAGAAAATTCAAACACTGCCTGCCGAACTGTTCTGCGCAGAAAACATAACTTGGACATTAACCAAATGGTCCGCCTCTGCGCCGACGTAGATCCGTTTGGACATCAAGTAGGTCAGGCAATTACCATGGCAATCGGAACAGTTATGGGCAAGTCTGACAAAACCTGTTTCCACTGTGGACAGGCTGGCCATTTTGCTCGTCAATGCCCCTCGGGCGCCCCCTCCAGTCTAGAGGGAAACAAACAGCGCCCTTCCCCCGTTGGGCTCTGCCCTCGATGCAGACGAGGCAGACATTGGGCCAATACCTACCGCTCTAAGACTGATGTCCTGGGAAACCCCCTTTCTCCTATTCCGGGAAACGGAGTGAGGGGCCAGCCCCGGGCCCCTCAACCAGTCTCCTTCCTGCCGGCCTCGGGGAACAGCCAGACAGGGCCACACCAAACCCTTCAACAACAGCTCCCAGACCAGCCTCAACCCTCTATAGGGCTACCCCAGGGAGCACAGAATTGGACCTCTGTGCCTCCTCCAATACAATATTAAAAGCTGGAGGAGGAGTTCAGATAATCCCTACTGGTGTCTTTGGGCCTCCCCCATCCCATACCTTATTTTGGGCAGAGCATCTGCCACACTTCAAGGCATTACCATTTTCCCCTCAATCATTGATAATGACTATTCTGGAGAAATTAAAGTGTTGGCCTCTAGCTCCAGAGGGTCCCTTCATATTTGCCAGGGACAGCGCATTGCACAAGCCCTTCCCCTTCCATTAGATACATCAGCACCCTTTTTGGGCCCGCCCCGGGGTGCCTCCACCCCAGGGTCTTCTGATGTTTATTGGGTCCAAAAACTTTCACAAGAACGCCCACAGCTAAAACTTAAACTCAATGGCAAAACCTTTGAGGGCATTCTTGACTCAGGGGCAGATTCCACAGTTATTTTACAGGCCCACTGGCCTGCCTCCTGGCCCTGTCAACCTTCTTTAACTCACCTTCAGGGCATTGGCCAGTCTATCAACACCCTTCAGAGCTCCCAGCTGCTAACTTGGGAAGATCCTGAAGGAAATACTGGACATGTCAGACCTTTTATTGTCCCGGGCCTTCCTATTAATTTATGGGGCCGAGACATTCTGAGTCAAATGGGAGTCTTTATGTTCAGCCTCTCTGTGGCTGTCACCCATCAGATGCTAGATCAGGGATTTATCCCTGGCCAGGGCCTGGGTAAAAACAGCCAGGGGACTCCCACTCCCCTTGAGGCCCTGCCAAAAACCTCGCGCTCAGGATTAGGCTATAATTCAAATTTTTCTTGAGGGTCATTGCTCCTCCTGCACGTAAGGCAGATAAAATCACCTGGAAATCAGATTCCCCTGTCTGGCTCGATCAGTGGCCCCTTCCCCAACATAAGCTTTCAGCGGCCATGCAGTTGGTGCAGGAACAGTTAGATGCTGGCCACATTGAGCCTTCTACCTCCCCTTGGAATACCCCTATATTTGTAATTAAAAAGAAAGGGAGTAAGTGGAGATTACTCCAGGACCTCAGAGAGGTCAATAAGACCATGGTTCTGATGGGGGCACTTCAGCCTGGCCTTCCCTCCCCTGTAGCTATACCTAAAGGATATTATAAAATGGTCATTGATTTAAAGGACTGCTTTTTTTGCATTCCTTTACATCCAGAAGATACCAAGCGCTTTGCTTTTAGCCTTCCCATTGTTAATTGCATTGGCCCATCTCCCCAGTTTCAGTGGAGAGTCCTGCCCCAGGGCATGGCTAATAGTCCTACCCTATGTCAAAAATTCGTGGCGCAAGCCATTGACCCCTTCCGCCTTCAATACCCCGAACTGTATATCATTCATTATATGGATGATATTCTCTTAGCCGGTCCTGATGAGACCGCTTTACTTGGGACAGGCCAGCAGCTGATTATTGCTCTTCAAAATCTTGGGTTACAGATAGCCCCCGAAAAGATCCAGCTTCAGCCCCCTCATTTATTTTTAGGCTTTGAGCTTTATTCTTCTAAGATTTTTTCTCAAAAGATTGAGCTTAGAAAAGATTCCCTACATACACTTAATGATTTTCAGTGCCTCTTGGGAGATATAAATTGGCTACACCCCTACCTGAAGCTGACCACTGGAGAACTTAAACCCCTTTTTGACATTCTTCAGGGAGATTCAGATCCTTCTTCCCCCCGCACATTGACCCTTGAGGCTGCCTCTGCCCTTACGCGTGTGGAGAAGGCTATTCAACAACAGACTGTTACTTATTATTCTCCTGCCTTCCCTTTGTGGCTGTTGATTCTCCCCACTGTGTTTGCCCCCACAGGACTCTTATGGCAATCCAAACCTTTATATTGGCTCCATTTGCCTGCCACCCCCGCTAAGGTTTTGCCCACCTACCCATCCCTGGTGGCACAAATCATAAAGTTGGGAAGAGAGACTTCCCTCAAACTTTTTGCCAGAGACCCTGACATTGTCAGCCTCCCTTACAGTGCTGCTCAGGTCAAATGGCTCTTACAGACTTCAGATGACTGGGCTGTTAATTGTGTTTCATTCCAGGGAAAAATAGACAACCATTATCCTTCCGATAGGCTTATACAGTTCCTTCAATATCAAGCAGTTGTTTTCCCTAAAATTACCAAAAAATCTCCTATCCCCCAGGCCTCCCTAGTCTTTACAGATGGATCCTCCTCCGGGGTTGCAGTCTTTCGGCTTGATGGACAGGTTTCCAGGGTCCAAACAAAATTTTCCTCAGCACAGTTGGTAGAGCTGGTCGCAGTCATACAAGTTTTTAAGGCTTTTACAGATCGCGCTTTTAATCTGTTTACTGATAGTGCATATGTGGCCCAGTCGGTGCCTTTGTTAGAAACTGTTCCTTTTATTAAGCCATCCACCAATGCCTCCCCACTTTTTGCTGAACTACAGAGATTGATCCTGGCCAGAGCCCACCCATTTTTTGTGGGACACATTCGTGCCCACTCTGGCCTCCCTGGGCCTCTTAGTAGGGGAAATGATCTTGTCGATAGGGCCACCAGAGACTCTCAAACACCTTTAGAGGCACTAGCCACACTTCCCGATGCCATACAAAAGGCACAAGAGGCCCATCGACTCCATCATCTAAATGCTCAGACCCTTCGACAATTGTTCTCCATCACCAGAGAACAGGCACGTCAGATTGTCCGCCAATGCCCAGGCTGTCTTACCTTTCTGCCTGAGCCCCACCTAGGGGTGAACCCTCGAGGACTCACCCCTGGGAGCTTGTGACAGATGGATGTTACCCATTTTGCCCCCTTTGGCAAACTTAAATACATTCATGTTTCTATTGATACCTTTAGCGGCTTTCTTTGTGCTTCTTTACAGACTGGTGAGGCCACTAAACATGTTATTAGTCATTTAATTTCTTGCCTTGCTTATGTTCCCCTGCCCAAGGTGCTCAAGACTGATAACGGCCCTGGATATACAAGTACTGCCTTTAAACAATTTTGAGCCCAGCTTGATATTAAACATATTACAGGTATCCCCTATAATCCTCAGGGACAAGGAATTGTTGAAAGGGCACATCAGTCCCTTAAAAACATGCTTTTAAAATTGCAACATTCAGGGGGCATTCTTTACCCTCAAAAGGGAAATCACAAGGTGTTATTAAACCATGCCTTATTTGTTCTTAACTTTCTAACCCTCGACGAAAAGAGAAAGTCCGCTGCAGACAGGTTTTGGCACCCCTCTACAGCTAATTCATATGCCAGGGCCTTATGGAAAGATCCACTCTCGTCCAAATGGTCTGGCCCCGACCCAGTCCTTATCTGGGGGAAAGGCCATGCCTGTATATATGATTCCAAACAAGAAAACGCCAGATGGCTTCCCGAAAGATTAGTTAAGTTAATAGATGCCCCCAAGGCCTCCACGCCTTGAGAAGTGAATTTTTTATCTTTACAGAATTATGAAGCAGTTGGATCGTATTTGGCTTCTTCAAACAATTTTCCAGCTTCAGGTATGTATGGGTGCCAATTATCAAGTCTATAATTTTACCTGGATTGTTTTTAATGGGGCAGGAGACATTGTAAATGCATCTTCCCAGATTGGAGTTACAAATCATTGGCCTCAGTTAGTTGTAGATCTCTGCCAACTTGCCCTGGGCGCAGAGCCTGCCTGGGGCACCCCTGATCATTTTCTTCCTCAGAGTAAGCCAGTGGACCCAGTGAAGGGACAAGACAAGGTTAATCCGGGGTGTCATTCCCAATGGTCCCGTCGAGTTTTGACCAAGACACCCGTTTATGTGCGCCCGGGCCATCATAGACCCAGAAGCAACGCCAGATCCTGTGGAGATCAGTCATTCTGTGGGTCCTGGGGCTGTGAGACCACGGGAGACACATATTGGAAACCCTCCTCCTCCTGGGATTATATTACAGTAAAACGAGCCCCCCAGAAAGACACAATCTCTGCATGGCCTCATGGCTCTGGATTTTACCCTCAGTGTAATTCCTGGTGTAATACCTTGTATATTTCTTTCACCCAACCAGGTAAAAAGGCTCCCTGGATAAATGAACGAGGATATTCTTGGGGGCTTTGCTTATATACAGTAGGACATGATCCTTGCCTCACCTTCAAGATCCAACTATTGAGGCAAACCCCACGGGCCTCTTCGGGGCTCGTGGCGGTTGGACCTAATGCTGCCCTTCATTCGGGCCAGAGTCATAGCCCTCAAATTCTTAGACGAGGCCCTCTTGCTTTTAAACCCACGTTGCCTGCTTCCCCTTCTTCCATTACTCCCCCTTCTTTTTTCTCTACGTTTTTTCAGCCTACTCTTCAACAGAGACCTCTTCCCTCCTCCCAGTTTATCATTCAGCTTGCAAATGCCTCGGCTGCCACCTTGATGGCCAATAATGATACCAGTTTTCAACCTTGCTGGATATGTTTTTCTCCCAAACCCCCTTTTTATGAAGGGGTGGCCGTTTTTGGAAACTTAGTTGCTACCAATAACTCAACAAAAGTCCTCAGTTATTATAGTGGTGAGGCTAAACTTACTCTGAGCCAAATATGGGGCTTGGGCACCTGTTTCTTGGGGCAGCAAATGCTGCCCCCTCGAGAGTTACAACCTATCTGTAATGAGACCTTTAGAGTTAATTCTACCTTTTTATATCTTATTGCTCCTGTTGGGTTTTATTTAACCTGTGCTGAGGGGCTTACTTCCTTTATTTATATTCCATGGTTTTTAGATTCTAGAGATTATTGCATTCTTGTTAAACTTTTTCCCAAGATGACTTTCCATCATGAAGACGAGCTCCTCTTTTCCCCTTCTAGTGAAAATCATTTAGTCCGGTCCAAAGGAGAACCAATCTCTGCCATCACTTTGGCCATAGTTTTGGGACTGGGGGCAGCTGGAGTAGGCACAGGCATTGCCTCCCTTATAACCTCCCACCAACAATACAACCAATTATCCCTGGCCATAGACAAAGACATTCGAGAGCTACAAATGGGACTTGAAAACCTTAAAGATTCCTTGGTCTCTCTCTCCGAGGTAGTCCTCCAAAACAGAAGAGGACTTGACCTTCTTCTTATCAGAGAAGGGGGATTGTGTGTGGCCTTAAAAGAAGAATGCTGCTTTTATTCAGATAAGACTGGATTAGTCCAAGATAGCATAAACAGGGTCAAAACCAGCCTAGAGGAGAGAAAAAGACAAAGAGAACAACAAGAGGCCTGGTATAAAAATTGGTTCTCCTTTCCGCCTTGGGTCACGACCCTGCTTCCAAGCCTCCTTGGCCCCCTTTTGGGCTTACTGCTCTTACTCTCATTTGGCCCATGGGCCTTCAAAAGATTAACCACCGTAATAAAATCCCGTGTTGATGCATCTTTGAGATTTCCTCAGGTACACTACCATCAGATCGACAATCAAGCTACTGAAGAACCTTATGATGATGCCGCTTCCGGTTCCCCCAGACCCTCAGGCCTTCAGTTTTCCACCTTAGTCGGGGACTGGCTCTCTCCGTGGGGTCGTCAGCCCCATAATTCACACAACCCTTAGTGTTCTGCCTCAGAGTATGGATTGGCCCCCAGACTAAATTGGCCCCATGGTTTTGGCCGACGATCTATGTGGTGGTCTGCAACCTTCAAAAGGTCAGATCGGCAACCCTCCCCACCATGGCCTTTGCGCCTCCTGGGCTCGGCTCTTGCACCTCCTGGGCTCAGACCCATTGCACAGAGATGAGCACCCTAAAAACGGTGGTCGAGGCCAGCGGCCCTTGATCCCCATGACGGGAGTATGCCAGTGCCACATGTATATAACCTCCTTGAGAGGCCAGGGGCCGCAGTTTGGATGCCCACCTCAGCCGACAGAGGTGCCAAACGGCGGGTGCCACCCTGTCCTCTCTAAACATCATCTTTAAGTGTCGGCTGTGGACTCACACTGGCTGGCCTAAGACAGAGACTTGGGACAAAGTTGCCTTTTTTCTTTTCTAGTTACAAAAGGAGGACATGTCGGGGGCCAGAAAAATATACCAGGGGCTAAAAGCACTCAGCTTGGACAGTCTGTCCTCTGCCACCGTGAGAACGAACAATTACTTCCCTGTTCTCATCCTGCTTGCGCAGGGCTTGCGGTTTTCCACGGAAAGTACAGCCAGTCCCCTTACCCAGTTTTAGTTCCCCATCTAAACACTAGTTCCTTAAACCCAGTTCCCCAAACCCTTGCCAGATGTCCCAAGAGGCCACCCCCTCCTCCCGCTCTCTCCAGTATATCTTGTAGTCGCTTCCGCAATAAAGACAGACCTTGACAAGATCTTGCTTGGTCTCCTTCCTTTCTCTCGCCCGTTCTCCCTTTCAGACTTGCCTCTTACTCGGACCCTACAATAACCTGCCCCGCGGGCCGGGGCACTTTACTGCTGCTATGGAGTGATCACGGTCCTCATTGTAGCTGTAGCTGCTCTTTCTGTTGCTTTGTCAGGTAAGTGACTTACTCTCCAAATTCTGCGGCATTCTGTCCACTGTCAGTTATACTTACTGACCACTGTGAGCCAGGCATTGTGGGAAGGGCTCCAGAGAAAACACTCAGGAAGTTCCTCTTCTCTGGGAACTAAGGTTCCACCAGGAAGATGCAGTGAAGGAACACACAGGCTGTGGTGTGGACAGGAGGCCACACTCGACATCCCTGGGAAGATGACACCCAGCAGGCTCTAGACAGAGATGCAGGAACATAGGTCCACTTGGGGGAACTGTCCAAGTCAGCAAACAAGGAGAGGAAAACTCCAAAGAGGACTAAAGGAAAGGTGAGGACAGAGAAGAATAAGATGACCAGGAAGATACAGTGTCTCCCGCCATGACCCATGGGATTAGTTACTGAGTTCTACTGCATTTTGAAAGAATTAAATGAAAATTTTCTGAAGTAATTCTTTTATAGGATTTTAGTTCACACTGTTCAGAATACTGCAATAAAATCTTGCACTGTCCTCTTAAGTATGGAAATCATCCTTTAGTGCAATGTGTCCACACTGTAGTATATACCACCTACCCAAAAGTTGTCACTGCTATCTCAGTTATCAGGCTTACTGTCAACAGTTGTCCATACAGAGTGCTTGCTGCTCCAGTATTTCTATTGTAGTAAACAGTCATCCAAAGCACAGAAATGATGCTATTATAGAAATGCACTTCCTGGGAGCTCTACTGTCAGTGAGCACCTGAGAGAGAATGGGACACAGGCCCAAGGTGGGAGTCCTTTAGGTAAAGGCCCATCATTCTCAGGAGAGGATTCCTAACAGATCACTTAGGAAAGCTACAATCAGATTCACACCTCATAGCTGATCTCAGGAGGGTATTCCAAAAAGAGAGAGGACATGCTTGTTATGATTTGTTGTATTGTCTATATTTTAGTAAGACCTACAGAGGAGATCTCAATCAATAAGACCAATGCTGCTTGCCCGAGCAACTGGATTAGATTTGGAAGTAAATGTTTTTACTTTTCTGAATATTCAAGTAACTGGACATTCAGCCAGGCCTTCTGCATGGCACAAGGGGCCCAACTAGCTCGAATTGACAACCAGGAGGAGCTGGTAAGAAATGGGCAGGGATTGGTTTGTATGTTTGTTCTGTTGAATATTGTATTGCCTTGAGATAGAGAGTTACAGATGAAGTATGAGGAAGGATCCCATCCCAAGCACAGGAGACATGGGGACAGTATGAGTGTGTGCCATTTGCCGATGCTTGACTTCTGCCTGGAGCCCTGAGACATTCAAGAAATATTCTCTAAGGACATGCTTATAGTCAGCTGGAAGGCCAGATGTGGCATTTTCCTGGGATACCTGGTGGTCATGAGCATTTTCATGTAAGATGGCATGTGTTGCGTATAGAAGGAGACAACTGTTAATAACTGTAATGGAATGTTAATCCAGACATATCCTGGTCACAAAGGAATGTGTCATTACATTTTGTACTTTAATTCAAATGAGATCTTTTAGAAATACAGATGCCAAGTAGTTACACTGACAACCGGTGACTAGTACAGCTCCAAAATCTGTGACCCTCAGTTCCACCCTCCTGTTTTCTGTAGAGGAAGCTGTGGAATGGAGAGACTCTAGGATCAGTTGAAACAAGGAGAGATTTGTATTCTTTGCTTTTTGTGTTTTATGACAGAATGTCCTAATGAGATACAGAGGGTCTTCTGGCCACTGGATCGGCCTGTACAGAGAGTCGTCAGAGCACCCTTGGAGGTGGACAGATAACACTGAGTATAACAACTGGTATGTTTTCAGAATGTTTTTCCTTCTACTGTGTTCATGTGTTATGATGTGTCTGTGTTGTGGCTATGAAGGATGAAAGTCAGGGTCATGTGAAGCCAAACGTACTTGGAAAGATGAAAAAAATGAATCCTTGGGCTGGAGGTGTGGCCCAGAAGTAGAGTTTGTGTTCATATCCAACAGCTAATTTCCAGCAAACTCCACATTCTGACAAATTTACATCAATTGGATACTCTATTTATCAGCCATCATCTTGAAGCATTTGCATAGTGTTATTTCATTCTAAATATTTAGCATGATGGTGGTATCTGGGTTAGATATTGTGTGCTATCACAGGGGTCAGCTCTTGCATGTGAGCACAGCCATTTTGAACAGAGCCACTTCCCTGGAAATGGTAAAAGAGATAGAACCTGTCACCTCCAGAATTAAAGACCTTTCGGCAATTTACTAAGTGGTGCATTTTCTCCCACTTTTATACATGTGTAAAAATACTTTAAGAGAACATTGAAAATCATCCCTGTAAGTCTACCCAATCTTTTAGTTTGTTTGAACATGGCAGCAAACATTGTGCACACATTCCAGAGTTCAATACGGATATTTGACAGAGGTGTGGTGATAAAATCAAACACTAAGGCTGGATTAGTCCCTAGGTGCAAAACTAGTGCATGGTATTTCAGTAGACTCTGCTTCTGATTTATATCATAAATAAGTGATGAAGATGAATGTGATATGATTGCAGGAGTGAATGAAATGGCTGACTCTGCAGAAAACTTTTATTTCTTTTTTTGCTGTAGGGTTTCCATCCAAGGAGATGAAAAACATGGCTTCCTGAGTGACAATGGGATCAGCAGTAGCAGAGACTACATAAATAGGAAGTGGATTTGTAGCAAGTCCATCAGCTGCACCTTACAGTGACAGTAGTTTTATACCTTGGTAGAGCGTATATGATAGCAATCAGGAGGAACTCATGACATGTTATCTACTGTTGCTGTGTATTTAAGGATCTGCTAAAATCATTATCACAATCAGTGTATAATGTATGGTGACATCAAAGATGACAACTCTCTTTGAAGACTATTCCTATGTGTGATTGGGAGATCATGAATGGTTCTAAATTAAGTATTTATTCAGCTGGTACTCATATCTTAAATACAAACTAAATCACATCAGTATTAGTAACCTCTACTTTTTTCTCTTTTATTTAATTATTTTTTTACATTCCAAATGCTGTCTCCTGGTTCCCCGTTCCAGAGTTCTTCACTCCATACCCCTTCTCCTTTACTTTCTGATGCTTTCCCTACCTGTACCCCTATCCCCTCACTCATCCCCACCCTACCCCACTCTTTCTCTGGGGCATTAGTTCTCTACAGGGTTAGGTGTATCCTCTCTCACTGAAGCTTGAAAAGGGAGTCCTCTGCTACATATGTTCTGGGGGTCATGGACCAGCTCATGTATCCTCTTTGGTTGGTTGCTTAGTCTCTGGGAGCTCCTAGAGGTCCAGGTTAGTTGACACTGTTGGTCTTCCTATGGAGTTTCCACCCCCTTCATTTCTTTTAATCCTTCCCCAACCCCTCCATCGGTGTCCATGTCTTCACTCCAATGGTTGGCTGTGAGTATATGCATCTGCCTCAGTCAGCTGCTGGTAGAGCCTCTCAGAGGATGCATCAGGCTGGCTGGTATGAAGTTGAACAGTCCTCTGAGGGGGGAGTGAGGCTGATTATAGGAAAGGTAGAAAGAAGATGCAAAAGACAGATAGTGGGAGGGCTGCAGATCATTACCATGTCAGCCCTTAGTGTATTTCTCATAGCCTTCTTATACTGCAGTACCATGGGAAGCAAAGGTACAAGCTAACAGAAACAATTTTGTTGAAATACATATAAGATATTAGTTTTCACCCAACATCTTATTATTGTTTTTTTTTTTAAATCAAGGTCAATAGAATCTTTAGATTTTAGTCTTGAGCCTCAAGCGTACCTGTTCTTATTGTTTTATGCTTCAGCAGGCCAGGAAATCTGCCAACAGACCCTGTTGTGTCTGGATTCTGCCTGGCAGGCAGACTCTGTCTGTGGCTCTGTCTCTCTCTGTCTCTCTGTCTCTCTGTCTCTCTGTCTCTGTCTCTGTCTCTGTCTCTCTCTCTCTCTCTCTCTCCCCCCCCCCTCCTTCAGAGAAACAGCAAATGGCTCCCAACAAGAGGACAGCCATGCTAGGCTCCTGTCTGCAAGCACAAAATAGCATCACTAATAGTGTCAGAGTTTGGTGCCTGCTCATGTGATGGATCACAAGTTGGGCTGCTCACTGGATCCCTTTCCTTCAATCTCTGCTCCTTTTTGTCCCTGCATTCTTTTAGAGAGGAACAATTCTGGGTCAAAATTTTTGAAGGTGATGACCTCTACTTTAATGACTAGATATAAATTTTTTTCCATCATTTCTTTCATGAATGATTGGGGACTTAAAAAATTAAGCACAAAAAACTGTAAAATGATTCCATTGCCACAAAAAGATTATTATTGTTCTGTGGCCTTCAAATAATTTTTGAATCATCAACATTCTTTTACAAAGTTCAATGACCAAAATGGAGGGAGACCTATACAGGATTAAAACCAACATTAATATTATTAATTTAACTAATAAATAATGTTTGTCAAATACTTTTAGACTTACTTCTCAGTTTTCCTTTATTTAGTTAAAGTGGACTAAGAACATGTTATAAATAATTTTATTTTACTTTCTTCTTTATTTTTCAAAAATTTCAAACATAACTATATCATTTGAATTTTATTGTCTATTAGATTCATTTATCAGCAAGACAGTTAATTACTGAGCCTTCTTAGGCATTATATTTTTTGCAGTAGTTTGCATATGGTTGAGTTGTAAGAACAAAGTATTTTTTTATTGATCATTCACTACGTTTCACTGACAAGTCCCAAAATATCAGGTCACATGCTTCTCTTTGTTTAGCTCTATCATTCTAACTGTATTGATAATATAGATTAAACCTTCTCACACATGCTTATCAAACATCCACTACTATTCTGGATACCCATCCTATTTTGTATATGTATACATAAACACATACACATAAAGATACACATACATATATATATATACATATTAACAAGGTCTTCACATAATCTCCAGATTGCTGGAATTGGAGCTGTGTATAACAAACACAACATATCTTTACTATTTATTAAAGTATATATTGGGAGCCAGTGATATGGCTCAGAATGTGATGCTACCCTGACACTAAGCCTGACAACTTGAGTTTGGCACCTGGATTCACATGGTAGAAGAAGGGACCCAATCCCATATAGTTGTCCTGTGAGTTTCAAACTTTTGATTTACTCATACAGAAAAAAAATTAAGAAGTAATAAAAAATTTAGTGTTAGGCTGTTGTTTCCTGAGTTTGCCATCTCAGGAATGATTCCATGTTGCTGGCAGATCCAAACTGAGTTCATGTTCTCAGGTGCCAGCTCCTACCCTCCTTCTTCAGATGTCTCATGTTTGTCTGTTAGCCAGTACAGGATGCAAAGACAGAAGATGCTGTCATCCTGTTATCTAAACTAAGGCACACAAGTCATAAATGTGCTGCTTGTCTTGACTTAAGTGACTCCATGCAGCTTGTCCTTTCCTTTGTTCCCTTATCATTGTAAAGTTCTGGGCCAGAGCCCAGGAGGGGACCTGGCTGCAGAGGCTGACTCACGGAACCTGAAACCAGGTGTCCCTGATAGGTCCTAGTCACTAATGTTAACTGTCTTGTTTTAAGTCCTTGTGTATAAATATGATTGGTCAGCGCAACAGTCCACCCTGCTACCCCTCACTTGTGTACCCATCCTACAGAAATGTTGTATAATGTCTCTTCGGATTTGTGGTTCAGATCCTAAACTGGCAGGCTCTTGGAGCACTCAGAAAATAAAGCTTTTGTTTTTTATCTTCCATCTCTGAAGTGAGTTTTCTCTGCTTCTACCCTGAACCTAACAAAAGTTCTAATATTCTGTGCCTGTTTTGAATTGTTTTTTTTATTATTAACTAAACACAAGCAAATCTCATTCAGGAAAACATGTTTCTTAGTGAACTGTTTGTACTGCATTTCACCTTGTTGTTTGTTCAGTCCATTTTATTTCAGATAAATGGTGTGACTCTGTTTCTAAAATAAATAAATACTTCCTAATATATAAATTTCATTTAGCAGTTTTAATTATTTTATTTATGCTACATGTTAATTTCAAAGATGGATGGAGAAAAATCATTGACCCAAATCATCATGGTCAAATTAATTTAAGCATACCAAGATAGGCATAGCAACTAGTAGTCATACCAACCAAGGTAGTCATAGGTGGTCATATAACCTTTTGAAGAAAATGTAGGGGTTTTTTTTTTTTGATGGTTGTAAAACACTTCTTGAAACAGAGACATGATTGAAATCCCTGGGACATACAGAACCTTCAGTTAAGGTTCCAGGTGGGGCATAGTCTAATTTGTGAGAAACAGGTTTGATATAAACAGGCATGAAGCTAGTTTGTCTTTCCTATAAGATGGCTTTGAAGCCTAAGATGGAGCCAAGCGGGTTCTTCATACAATTCAGTCCATGTTTCAATGCCCTCTCCTATCTTGTGATTCTGTTTCTCTGAGAGATAAAGAACTTCCTGCTGAGTGGATGTTCCACTCAAAGGGTGGAAGTTAACAAGCCATCTGATAAGTGGGATCCGGTCATCAGTAGGCTTATTTGGAAATGTCTCAGATTGAAAACAGTCATTCTTCCTCTCTAGTTCCAATTTCAGTCTTCCTGTGTCTGAGACTCAGCTCAGAGATGAATGCTTCAGAGGCTGCCCAGGCTTCCATTGGCATGTTGGAGACAGAGCCCATTTCCAGAGACCTCCTGCAGGAAGGAGAAATTATATGTATTTATTGCAATCTGAATCAAACTAAGAAGGGCAGAGAGGAACTAAAAAGGGTTCGTGGAGAAGAACCTCATGAATGATAGTTTGTCTTGGTGGGTCTCTGTAGAAGAGGAGATGCTTGGAGGCCTCTGTTTCATTTGTTCCTCTATTGGAGTATTACTCTATGTAATACTTAAATATAACTGGGGCAAGAGAAATGAACAATGAATTAATTACAAGGTCTGAGCCATAGGTTTTGTTTGCTCGGTGAATAAAGTAAAGACATGACAATTCCAATGTATGTATAAGGGGAGGTTTTATTGTAGATGTGAGGGAGAGTACACTCAGAGTTGTCTGGAGGAGTTCAGAGCAGGGAAAGAAACGTACAGACTGAATGTGGCTAGCAGATTCAGCTTGAACATGAGAGATGAGAAAGGGAAGGAGAGAGAGGAAGACATAAGAGAGAGCATGACTAAAATGGCAGGGTTGTGTATGGATGAGAGGCTGAGGGAAACAAAGCTGAGGAGCTGGAAAAGTTTAGCACAGGGGTCAGGATAAGAAGCTGTGAGGAGTCAAAGTTGCTAAGGAATCCTCAAGGCCAGCTTGCATTTTCTTATGACAGTAGGCATGAAACTCAGCCATTTGTCATGAGTTTCTTTAGGACCTGACAGTTGGTTCATTTGGGTTTGGGATTTTATTTTGTTTTTGATATTTTCTTTCCTTCCTTCTTTCCTTCCTTCCTTCCTTTCTTCCTTCCTTATTTCTTTTTCTTCCTTCCTTCCTTCCTTCCTTCCTTCCTTCCTTCCTTCCTTCCTTCCTTCCTTCCTCCCTCCCTCCCTCCCTCTCTCCCTTTCTCTCTCTCTCTCTCTCTCTTTCTTTCTTTCTTTCTTTCTTTCTTTCTTTCTTTCTTTCTTTCCTTCTTTCTTTCTTTTTTACTTTCTTCTGTCTTTCTTTTTTTTCAGCGTGTGTGTGCATCTTTGTTTGTGTATGTGTGTGTAGGCTATATGTGTATGTGGTATTGCCTCTCTCTCTCT